TCTCACAAATTTGCAGTCTTTGGACCGATTCCAAGGTACTATAGCATTTCCTTTAACGTTTTTTGTTCCACTTGCCAGCTCAAATTGTGCTCCTCGGTCATTTCTCTTGCTTCGCCTCCTCCCTGTTTAACAGGGAACCTTGATCCAGGCCATCGCGACACCAGATTTAGGTCACCGATTTGGCGCACACTTGCAACTAGGGTGTGTCTACTTAGTTACTGGATACCAGCTGGCAAAATCACAGCCAATGTGCCGCCCTTGCTCGCATAGATTTAGTTTGGTTCTTTCTCAGGGAACCATATTTGAGGATGTGACCATGTTGTCACCGGGTTTCTGTGCTGATTCATTTGAGTTTTTCCACTTCAGTTCCTTGCGCGGCTTGACTCGCTCAACAAACCAGCTCATAGGTTCACCTGGAAATTACTGTAATATCATCACATATACTTCACCTGATGTTTGCACTACTGAATTGACGATCTTTTAAAACATCTTCACATGTAGATGTTGTTGGCAGAGTTGTGTCTGTGAGCGGGTTATCCTGTTCAGCAACGTCCACTGGTGCTGTTATTAGGCGGAAACTGGTCATGCAGAACGAAAGGTCTTCAGTGCAATGCGGTTGTGTACCTTTCCATTTGTAGTTGATTTAACTGAATTCCAATCATCTCCCTCTTGCCTGCACTTTACTATTGCAGAAATATACGTGTTAACATCACCATATGTGGCGATGTTGCTCGATCACTAGATGGAGAAGAACTAGCATACCTTGGCCGCATGGGCTCTGTTATACTTGGTGTATGCAGTCTTCAAGTTACTAACGCCACAGCAGGTTTACAGTGCATCTTTCTACCTCACAGTTAATGCTATTGCTATTCCATTCTACGACGCCTCACATCTGCTTTCCTACTTTTACCAAAGGCGGCATTTTTTTAACCAGCACCTCCGCCACACGGTTTGTTTTGGAGCCATCCTCTGATTTGGCAACTGTTTTGCGTGCTACGTAAGTCTCTTACAAGCTGCCGTTTTTAGTAATTTACTTTCCGTTTATCTCATATACTTTCGAATTTGTAGGTCTACTGGTGGTACAGATACGATCCGATATTATCCTCCATACTTTTCCACTTCTTTTGCAGAGGAAATGTTTCGAACTGACAGTACCAAGACAATTATGGACCTCATCCGCCTTTCCAGGAATCCAATGGTTGACGTGCGTTCTTTTGACATAACTTTTACTGTAACAGCACTGTGTTTTATTACTACATGCCAGGTTAAAGCATAATCTGCACTATTAATGTAGCCAGCCATTATTTTCATGTTTCAGAATGTATTCTGCCTCACCACTAGATGGATCTGTTTTTCCAGTCCCTTTCCCCAGTAAACTAACAAATTTCTTCCCTGCTTAGCTAACTTTTCTCACCAGTTTTGTTTACCTACAGGCTACCCAGTACTATTGTTTGGCGCAAGTCCTCTCCACTGAGTCTTCAAGATCATGGTTCTACTTAGGATGTGCCTTTTGCTTTAAGACAGCTAGGGAATTTCCTGGCTCTGGTGATTTTTTTTGTGAAGACCATGGCCAACTAAAGCCTGAAGCTACCGAAAAGTGGTTAGTTTTAAATCCACCTTTTCCCCATCAGTCAAGTGGGCACGCCCAATTCAACCCTGAAATGTTAATACATTTTTACAGCTACAAAATTCATTTGGCTGTCGGAGACACTACTGGCTCGGCGTGCTTCGTCGCACTTGGAAAGACCGCTGAATCTTTGCTTGGAGTTACAGCAACCGAACTATTGCTGCAGCACCCCCACCACCATGGCCATTTCCCTCCGAAAATTGTGGCCATGAATGGATGTTGGTTTTCGTTTTGTGTGCAACTCCCTAAACCTGGAAATCTGGCTCAGACTCCTCTGGAGTTTACTATACTTTCTGCATTCGACCGCAGCCAGCTTTAACAATAAACTAATGGAAAAGTCAACACTTGCGCAGAAAGTCGTTGTGCTCGACCGTTGTCTTACCTATATTATCCAGTATTTAGCAACACCTGCACTTCAACATCAACAGACTTATGCATCCGAGATGTACGTAGAAACTATTCATATGCACACTTACTCCGATTTTCCGCTATCAACTCTCTAATCTCATAATATAATCTCCCCGCCGCAGAGCGCGGGCTTCCTTCCTAGTATATATGATAGTCTGTTTATGTATTTACTGTCTTGGAATTCACGTACGTACGACCCACAGTGCTGAAACTTCCTTTCCAGGAGAATTGCCATATCAAATATTCACTCACAAGAAAATCGAACGCTGGCTTGCAGTAAGGCAGGAGAGGAGAGGAGCCTGCAGCCTATATCCGTATTTAATGAATCAAATTGCTAAGTTAAGTATGATTTATAAATTAATTTATTTTATATATTTTATAATTATTGATGTACTATTAAATATACCATTAGTTTAAATACGAAGTAAAATATTCACATGTATCTTATACCGTATTTTACTAACTATCATTTTGTTTGTTGTCACCCCAAAAAAAAACTATCATTTTGTTACCGTAATAATTTTGCATGTTTTTGGTGAATGGTATATTTATGAAGATTGGCAGAAGGCAGATGTATTGCAGGTTGGTTTTTAGTTTTACTATTGCCAGCATTGATTTCTTGGTTTCAATTATTTTTACCCTACCAAAATTATACATGAAACTTATGAGAACGGATCAAATCAGTAATCTTATGGTGAGCAACCATGAGTAACCATCCACATCAGCATGACATCAGCATCCCTCTCTATCATGGAAAACATTTAATTTTCCCCTCCTTAATCTTTGACTGACGATTTCTCACTCGTTTTAAGTCGAAATTTAATTTTTTTTTGCACAGTTAGATCAGATTAGTTGTTCTCTTCAAAATGATATCCACTTTGATATATTTTTTGAACAAAAAAATTGAGCCATTTTTTACCAATTTATACCATATGGTATTGACTGGTATTGAAATAAGAGCATATCACTACAGGAAAACTGGTTTCTAGTCACGGTAACTTATTCATGGTAATTTTTCCCGTGTTCTGAAGTATGCGAATAGTCACAGTAAAAGTTCCTGTGTTTAATTGTATAGTTCTAATCACGATAATCAATTTTCCTAATTTTTAGTATAAATTAACCGTGTTTAATTGTTAGTCACGGTTAATTACCGTGAACAATGTGAAAATTACCGTGAACAATGTCACTAATAATTACTCACGGTTAATTACCGTGAACAATGTGACAAAATTGAAAATTAAAATTAGGATGAATTAAAAAGATGCACAATGTGGTTAACAAATTTAGATACAAACATTTGGTGAACTATGTAAAATAAGGATTGGTGGATTAAGTAATGTGTTATAAGTTTGGGTTGGGGTATTATTATATTATTAATGATATAGTTTGTCAAAAAATTAGTTTTCCATAGTGATGGACTGGAAAAATATCTCCCGCGGCGGGAGATATCCTAAAATTTTCCCATCCCGCCTACAAAATTTTCCCTATCAAAAGTTTGGCTCCTTATCCTAAAATTTTGGCTCCAACAATTCTTAAAGTTTTGGCTCCAATGAAACCTAATTTTTTTGGCTCCAATGAAACCTGCAATTTTCGGCTTCTCCCGCCGAGTTTTTTGGGGTTCTCCCGCTGCTAATTGGATTTAGGGGTTCTACCGCCAAAATTTGGGCTTCTGCAGTTTTACCATATAAAAGAGGAAAGAGCAATGACGGAAAGCTTTTCTGCGTTCCCAACCTAAGAAAAGCCTCCATCTCTTCGTTTCCATCTCTCCTTGTCATAATCAAAATCTGATTCCCCTGTTAATCATCGGTTCAAATCATTTCCTTCTTCCTCCTTCATTCTTCCCCTGCTCCTGCCACTCCTGCAGCTGAGGTATACTTAATTTCCTCCCTTTCTATTATGTTCTGGTCGCATGCAACTGGTACTACCAAAGGGTTCTCTTTGTACACGAATTTGGGGAGGGATTAAACTTTGCATCTAGAAGGATTCTGTCACATGCAACTAGAACTACCTAGGATGTCTAATATAGTTCATAAAAGATTATGCAGCATGCTTTAAACTTTTGTTTGTATAAATGGTAGCACTACAGAAAATCTGGTTTTCAGTCACGGGATCTTATTCACGGGAATTTTTCCCGTACTCAGAAGTATGCTAATAGTCATGGGAAAAATTCCCGTATTTAATTATATACTTCTAATCACAGGAACCAATTTGTCTGTTTTTTAGTCTTCATTTACCGTGATTAATTGTTAGTCACGGTAAATTACCGTGAACAATATGACAATTACCTTTATAAATTTAGGTTTAATTCGAGCAGGATTAAGGAAAAAAATTTGAAACACAAAGCAATAGATTTCGACATAGTTAGTAAAATACGAGACAGGTAACTTACGTATAAAATATGTACGAGTATTTTACTTTGTCTCTAAACTAATGGTACGTTTAATAGTACATTAATAGTTATAAAATTTATTAAATTAATCATTAAAAAATTAATATATAAATAATAGTTGATTTATCAATTTAATTCATAAAATATGGCTATTAAACATGTTATACTGTTTTTATACGCATTTAGTACGGCAACCATCAAATTAACGGGAAAAAATTAAATGAATTGACAATAATAATAATACAGAAATTTTAATTTGGTAAAATATATACGAACATATATACGTATATTAAACGGAGTATTTACTAGCTGTGGATTTTGAATCTCTCCTTATTTTAATAAATAAAAATTTAGAATCAATGCAATTTTTCTCTTTCACATACTCCAAAAAGTTCTCACATTTTGGGTAAATTTTTCTAGAATTTTTGTAAAATCGGACTCCTTTGCAAATCCAAAAATTTGTACTGATACAAGAAAAACAATTTGGCTCTCCCGCATTTTTTCCCTCCCTCCCCAATTCTGAAATTTGGCTCCTGAAATATTTGGCTCCAAAGTCTAAAAGTTTTGGCGCTCTCCAATTTGGCTACAGAGAAAAACAAGAAGTGGCATTACCTTTTTAGCCAAACCCAAATTCTCTTCGTTCCAAAGAAGAAAAGCCACCCTTTCTTCCCCCGACCACCCTCTCCTGGTCCTGGCCGTTTCGCTTTCATCCATTCTTCCCCAAACCACCCTCTTCTGGCCACCCCGCCTTCCTCACCGTCGCCCTGCCTTTCCCTTCCTCATATGCCCTTTCGACGCACTCACAAGCTTCTTTTGAACTGCCTTTCCCCTAATGTTCAACCCAGCCACACAAACCCTAATTTCCCAGTTTTAGGTGCTCCACAACCTCCGCCTTGCACCATTGGCAACCGTCGCGACTTCGCCTCCATTCTTAGCTCATACGGAGAGATGTGCTTCTGGCCAGGCAGGTGCGTTCGTTCGCATCAGAGCCCCTCCTTCGGCTGCCTTGGCCTCTTCCATTCTCGGCCCTTTCTTATCAGTGGGCTTCCGAGATTCCGTTTTTACTCCTCCTCTTTCAGAAGTTTTGGACGGTCTGATCTCGATTTCACTCACACATTTGGGGTCGACATTTCCGCTTTGGGTGAAATGAGGGTATGTAATTGATCAAATTGTGAATTTTTCAGTTTTCTCTGAACTAAACATGAGTTCCCATTGAAACATGGATTTGAGGTATAGGTCAGTGATAACAAGGCTTCACAATTTTTATTTTGCTTGTTTCATGGTGGATAAGCTGTAATTTGAGATATAGGTCAGTGACAACGAGGACGAACGAACACCGAATGCGTTCCGGATTTGGGTGAAATGACATGGGATGGGCTCTGTTTTGTCCTCTGCCTTTCTGAATCTGATTCTCGTGAATCGTTTTGTTGCCACAGGAGCAAGAAGCTTTGGCAGATCTCACGAGGAAAGAAATTTCTTGTCAGGAAGAACATTGATTTAGTGAACAAGTAACTGAAGCCACTAGGGCAATCAGTCCCGAAGAATGTATAGATATAATAATAAACAGCAGCTAATTGCTTTTATATGAAAACCCCCTTTTATGGATTATTGTCTAGTTTGTCTTCTATATATATATATAGATATATGGGGTTTACAAAGTAACAGTGATAACTTTGTGGGTTGTTTTTGGGGTTTACAGGAGAAAGAGTGCATGGATGCTCTTCAGGCTTTTAATGATAAGAACAAGGAGAAAGTGAAGCTGGTTACCAAGCTAATGGGAGGTGAGACTCATGTTTTCTTTAACCTACTGAGGAATTAGGATGAAGGTGATTTTGTAAATTTTGTTGTTCTTGTATCCACAGCGCATAATCTTTATGGATGGCAAATTGTATTTTTAAGTTTTGTTTCTTCTGTTTAGTAAACCACTGTCATCATTATAAAAAAAGGTCTTACATGCTGCTTAGCGTGATGAAGAGTCATTAGCTGAGGGTCTTCTTTGGCTTCTATCAATTGGAAAGGTGAAGTAGTTTTGTGACAATTAAGATGCAAAGTCTTCATTGGATGTAATCATTAACCCTATTCTTTACATAACCTCTATTTCTTTTCTTCTTCCTCTTGGATTATAGGTGTCAAGCAAGGAGCAAGTTAATACGTTATCAAAGGAATTTAGAGATCTCGCTACTGTCCAAGGTCTTTTGTTAACTTGCATTTGACATCAGTTCCTTATTTTCATTATTCATCATAATCTTTATCTCTTTAGACTTGCTTGTTTCTGGTATTGTGTTTGCTTTGATATTTGTTTCTCTGTTTACTTAAACATAACTTAGCATCTGGTAGCTCCCCCAAATAGTGAAAGTGATGAATTTTGTTGTATACATTGATGTACATACTTTTGACATGAACTGTAAGAGGTCCCTAGAACCACTTGTATTACATACGAGGATATATGTTCCCTTTGTGGTTGAGCCTAAACAAGTTGTGGGTTCTTGTTAGAAAATGACAGTGAATGAAATTGGAGAAATGAGAGTTCTGGCCGCTTGTTTTAGAGTTGTTAACTATTTTGTTGCTCTTTTAGTGTGTTGGCAGGAGGATGATGTGGTTTGAGTACATGTTGAGTGAAGTTATGAGCCCCATATGTTTTTTATGTGAGAAGTTATGAAGTGTATACTAGTTCCTGCCTTGAGAACAAGGCATTTGGGTTAGTCTTTTTAAGTCCTTTAAGCTTCTAGCTTCTAGCTTCTTTGTTCATGTTCTGTTGGATTTGAGTTTAACTAACTTTTCATTGATGTCTGAAATTTTAATTACCCTGATTTCTTCTCTAGCGCATCAATAGTACAGTTGACAGAATTCCATACCTGATTAACCAAACCATCTTTACAATTCCAATACTGCTACCTTGTTATGTCTCTGTTTATGTTTCTTTTTCTTTGTTTCGTCTCTTGGGTTCAAGTTTGATATTGCACCATGTAGTGATGAAGATCAGATCATAAAAGGTTATATAATATTGGTGTTTTTTTTATTGTTGTTCATGACAGATACAAAGGTGCAGATGCCTCGGATGGAGTCCTTGGCACATATTTTTTTGGTAGAAGAAGGATGATTTTGAATAGTTAACTCTAGATAGATTGACAGTCTTAATGTTGACTTTAGAACCATAGAAGTAATAATTAGTTAGCTTATTGAGGAGATGTAGATTGTAACAGTATAGAATTATTGACTACAAGATTTGATGACTTTCTATTGTTGATAATAATATTATTTTGTTGTTATTTGTTGGCCAGAAACTTTAATACATGGTTTCTATAACTAATAATGAAAAATTCATAATTAATATTTTTTTATGTTATTGTAATTAATCATAGGAAATTACCGTGACTAGTGGTTGTAATTAGCTATAGTCAAATACCATGACTAGTGTTTAGTATTTAGTCATGTGTTTAGTATTTAGTCATGGGATTACCAATGACTAAAAATGCAGTAAATACCGTGACTAGTGATTGATATCTAGTCACGGGAATCAGTTAGTCACGGTACTTATTACTAGTCACGGTACACAATTAGTCACAGAGCTTTATATTACGGTAATTTTCCCGTGACTAAAATTATTAGTCACAGGAAACATGCTTTTACACAATGGATCCAGCTGCAAACATGGATCCTGCCGCAAACATGGTTTCTAATGAAGAATCGACTGAAAGAGGCAAGTTTATAATTCTGTATTTCCAGACTTTCATTTATAGTTTATTTTTTAATTGAAGTTGCCGAAATTGAGCATTTGTTGATGTTGTTTTTTGAAATCTCTTGACATTGCAGCTAGACAGAAAAATGTACGAGGGAAAAGCATATGTAAAGCTGTTGCTAGACTTAGACGTGGTGAAAAGCTGCCTATTGCCTTCTACAACAATCGTGGTGCTGGCCCAAATAGAGCAACTTGGTCAAGCTTTATAGGATTGGTTGTTCGGAATCCCCAGATTTGTTCATTCAAATCAAGAAGATGGAAGTCCAAAGGCCGGGCAGAATTTGAGCATATGTGGGCTGCACTTACGGTAAGGAACAATATGCAACTGTGCCTTACGAGTCTTAACTGCCAAGCTGCTATTCATATAATCATTTTTACATGTTTAAAGATACCTAATGTTGATAATACAATGATTGCAGGAATATTTCTATAATCCTAATATGATAGAGTATAAGTATCATACTTTACTTCATATGAGGGATTGTTGGAACAAATGGAGGTCTGTTTTGTATCGTAAATATGCAAAACCATGTGGTTGCGAAGAAGATGTTCTGAAAAATAAACCAGATGAAGTAGGTAGCCAAGAAGATTGGGAATGGTGTGTGAAACACGTTTTCTACACTGCTGAATTTCAGGTTGTTACACAAATTTTCTCATAGGTTCTTGGAATATTGACTTCATATGATTTACTGATGAGTATTTCTAATTTATTTCCCCCCACTGCAGAAATTGAGCAAGAACAATGCTCTGAATAGAATGAAGAAAACTATGAATCATCATAGCGGAAGCAAGCCTAATCGAGAGTATTTTTATGAAATGGTAAGCAAGCTATAACTTGTTCACGTGCAATAGAATTGTTGTGTATGTTTTCGCTGCTGTTACATTTTCTACTACTGCTGCTGCATTTTGTTTCTGTTTTTGCTGCACCTGCTCCATTTTGTTTTTGTTCCTGCTACTGCATCTATTCATGATGAATTATGATGTTTGATAAGTTGGCTTTTGGGTTAATTAATTTGAATGATGTTTCTAGGGTGGAAAAGATGGGACTCCTCCGACCATAGATAAAGTGTTCTTTGAGACACACAAGAGCAACGGTGAAATAAAAGAACATGCAGCAAAAGAAAGACATGTAACATTGGTTCTTTAAGTTTGAAGTTATGTTCTTTATAGATATACAGTTGATGATTGTTAATTGTTTCATTTTGATAGGCTGGACTTGTTGAAACCTGTGAAGCTAATCCAGAGTTAGAGCCAATAGAGTTGGTAGAGAAGTTCTATGGCAATCAAAATCATGGACACATAATTGGTTTTGGAGGTGGATTGAGGCCTAAGGACTTGAAGGGTTCAGATGCATTAAGCAGGGCAGAATTGGCAAGCAAACTAAGGGACTCTAATGGAGAGAAGGCAGACATGGCAGCTATAATAGCAGAGCAGGCTAAAGTTATTTCTGAAATGAGAACCATGATGGAAAGGATGGATCAAAGGTCTGGCAGTCCGGCCACTAATCAAAATGGTCAATCTTAAGTATGTCTCCTTTGCTTTACGTCATATGAATCTGATGTCCAAAATGTGCTGCTCTTCTTTTGTGCTTTATGTTTGATGTGTGTCTCAACACTGATTCTGTGCATTCTTATTGTTCATGGCAGGTATGGTAGTGTGGAGTTGGCTTTGATGGGATTCATGACACCAGTATTTTGCTGAGATTTTGTTTTTAGGAGGAGTTTTAGATATTTGTTGTAATCTTGTGAATGATTTTGGATGGGTGTCATGTAATAGTTGAATAGTTTTTGGGATGGTTAGAAATATCTAAAACTCTTCTAACTACTGATGCAGTATATATAGCATCTAGAACTATTGTGGCTACTGATGTAATATTATGGATGTATCCTATAAAAATTTCTGTAAATCAATGTTAAATGTTGGGTACAAGTGAATGCAGGTTGCTGCTTTTTAGTTATATTGTATAAGTGTATTAGTGCATCAGGTGAATCAGATCCCATTCCCTTCCAGCAAATGTGTTCCAGCAAATGTGAATTAGTGCATCAACTGAATTAGAACACATTCCAGCAAAAGTGAATTAGATCCATTCCAGCAAAATTGAATTGGAAGGGAAAAATTAAAAATATGAATACATGTAGACTCGAACTCGTTGTTGAATATAGATAGTAAAAGTAAACTATCTATCTAACCATCTTTCTAAAAGATTAATTATTATAAATTAGTGCATCAAACTTTGTATTAGAATGCTTTCTGTTTCAGCCCACATTAGTAACCAGCCCATGGACGTTATTTTGTTCCTTGTACGTGGACAACTTTAAACATTCGTAATTCTCCTTCCCTTCACTCATACCCTAATTTTCACTTTCCCCTTTCTCACCTTCATTCTCTTCCTTCGTTCCCTAATCTGAACACCAGAGGAGAGAGTGTTGTGCGAGCTTCTCTCATACCCCAATTTTCAATTGCCCCTTTCTCCCTTTCCCTCTCTTCCTTCGTTCCCTAGTCTGAAAACAAGAGTGTTGTGTGCGAGCAGTTCAAACTTTGTTCACCTATTTCACCTATATGCTCGTAAAACCAATAAAGTGACGTGGAGGGGTCGGCGGGTGTAGATGTGGAGCGGGTCGCGGGTGTAGCTGTGAAGCTGTGGAGGGTTGCTACGGGTACGGGTTGGTGGCAGCAGCTGTGAAGCGGAGCTATAGCTGTGGAGGTTTGCTACGGGTGCTACGAGTTGCTATGGGTACGGGTCGGCGGTTGCAACTGTGGAGCGAAGCTTTTGGGAATTTCTCTATTTAGCTGTAAGGCAACAGTCTCCTTGTCCGAATTCAGCAAATCCAGGTGTGTTTTTCTGCCCTCTGTATGTTAGGTTTATGTCATTCCATGTCCTTACGTTGAATTAGAATTTGAGATTTCTGTTTTGAATTAGGTGTAATGGCACCAAGTAAAACTTGGATGCTTGTCGACAATAGGCTCAGTGAGGATTATAATAATGGAGTTTCAGAATTTTTAGACTATGCATTTCAAAGGAACAGGGGTAGGTATCAGATTCGATGTCCATGTGTTAAGTGTTGCAACGGAAAGTCAGGAACACGTGAGACAGTAGCTGCACATTTGGTCACTTATGGAATCGTCCCAAATTATACTTTTTGGTGCCATCATGGAGAACAATTGGGTGAGGCATTTGGACCAGCAGTTGAAAATGTGAATGATGCTTATGAGAACGAGAATGAAATGCATCAGGTTTTGAGGGATTTGTATCCTAACATTGATATCGAAGAAGAACTTGATGTGGATTTTGAGGAAGCATACAATGAGTCACCAAATGATGAAGCAGATAAGTTCTATAGATTGCTAAATGACTCTGAGCAACCTGTTTATGATGGTTGTAAGAGTTCAAAATTATCAACTATAATGAAACTTCTGCACATTAAGACTCTTGGAAGATGGAGTAATGAGTCATTTAACATGTTTCTCAAGCTTATGAAAGAGGATCTCTTACCCGAGGGATCATCTTTACCAGATTCATATTATGAATCAAAAAAGATCATACAGGATCTTGGCCTTTCATACACAAAAATTGATGCTTGTGAGCATAGTTGCATGTTGTTTTGGAAGGATGATGCACATCGTGATGATTGCAAGGTATGTCATGCATCTAGATGGAAAGTTGACAAGCGTAGTGGGGAAGTCCTGACTAAAGTCAATGGGAAGAAATTGCCAAAGAAGACTTTACGTTATTTTCCACTAAAACCACGACTTCAGCGGTTATATTTGTCAACAAAGATTGCTTCTCAAATGACTTGGCATTATGAAAACAAGAGTGACAGTGATATAATGCGACATCCAAGTGATTCTTTAGCATGGAAGTCATTTGATGGGCTTCATCAATCTTTCTCAGCAGACCCTCGAAATGTGAGGCTTGGTCTAGCTAGTGATGGCTTTCAACCTTTTGCACATTCTAAAACTCCCTATAGTATCTGGCCAGTGGTTTTAGTTCCATACAACTTGCCTCCTTGGATGATAATGAAGCCCTCCAACTTTATTCTGTCCATGTTAATTCCTGGTCCAGAAAGTCCTGGAGATGCTATAGATGTATATCTGCAACCGTTGATTGAGGATCTCAATGATTTGTGGAATCAAGGCATCACTACTTTTGACTCATCGAAAAGACAGAACTTTCAATTACATGCAGCCTTATTGTGGACTATCAACGATTTTCCAGCATATGCTAATTTATCAGGTTGGAGCACTAAGGGAAGGTTAGCTTGTCCTGTTTGCAGCAAAGATACCAGGTCTGATTGGTTATATAATGGAAGAAAGTTTTGTTACATGGGTCATCGGCGTTGGCTTTCCAATGGTCACAGATGGAGGAAAAACAAAGATTCTTTTGATGGGACAAGTGAGAAACAAGGCCTGCCAAGAGTCTTCTCAGGAGATCAAATACTTGACCAAGTTCAAGATCTTGAGGGTATTTGTCTAACAAAATGCCATAAAGTAAAGGTGAAGATATCCCATGAACAAAGAGAAGACAACTGGAACAAAAAAAGTATATTTTTCCATCTTCCATATTGGAAAACATTGTTGTTGCGTCATAATTTAGACGTGATGCACATTGAGAAGAATTTATGCGATAATGTGCTTGGGACAATCATGGATTTGAAGGGAAAGACCAAAGATACTATGAAAGCTCGTCTTGACTTGGAGGACATGGCATTAAAACCAGAATTACATCCTATTCGAGAAGGTGGGAAGTTGGAGATGCCACGAGCAAAATACACATTGCTGCGAGATGGTAAACGTAAGTTTTGTCACTTTCTAAAGAACATGAAGGTTCCTGATGGCTTCTCTTCAAACATATCTCATTGCATAAATGTAGATGAACATAATATATCTGGTTTAAAAAGCCATGATTGTCATGTTCTTCTACAACATCTTATTCCACTTGCCATACGTGGTCTTTTACCGAAGGATGTCTGTGACCCTCTTATTGAATTGTCAGAGTACTTCAGGAGCTTGTGTTCGAAATCACTTAAGGTGCAAGAGTTGGACAGAATCAAGGCTAAGATTCCAGTGACTCTGTGTAAACTGGAAATGATCTTTCCGCCTGCATTCTTTGATGTTATGGTGCATCTTCCAATGCATTTGGCTGACGAGGCTATGGTTGGGGGTCCAGTCCAATTTAGGTGGATGTATCCTATAGAGCGCTACTTGCATGATTTGAAGTCATATGTAAGAAATAGAACGCATCCAGAGGCTTCCATTGCAGAAGGCTATATAGCTTCAGAATGTATGACATTGTGCTCTAGGTACTTGAATGGTATCCAAACAAAGTTCAATAGGGTTGACAGGAATTGTGTTGGAGATGATGTGCAAGATTTTCTTGAATTCTCACAAGTCGGACGATTCTTGGGTAGTCATGATAATGTTCGTAGCCTCAGTCCAAAGGAATTAGAGCAAGCCCACATTTATGTGATGAAGAATACAGAAGAAGTGCAACCATTTTTCGAGTAAGGTTTTCATTATTGTTTTACCTATCTCTTTGTTTGTTCAAGCTTAATTTATAATTATGTTATTGCACATTGTAGAGAATTTAGTCATCTTTGTGAGCATGATTTGTTGGAAGGAAACTATAAGGAGGATGATGCAAGCTTCATTTCTTGGTTCAGGCAAAAGGTAAGCTCTTTTCCTCCTAGTTAATATCTAAGGCATGGTAATTTTAATTTGCACAGCTTGGTAATATCCACCTTTATGTTATGAAAACATATCAAAACCTTTATTGCAGATTGCAAATTCCTATGAACATAACAAGAGTAAGAGGTTGGATGACCTATTGTCACTATCACGAGGCCCTGCTCAAAGTGTCAAGTGTTATACAGGTTATGTCCTAAATGGTTTTCGTTTTCACACAAAGGATTATGACAAAAGTTTAAGGACTCAAAATAATGGAGTCGTTGTAGTTGGTGATGACGGAGTCGATGTGAATGCTATAGACTACTATGGGGTTTTAAGAGAGGTCATTGAGCTGAAATTTCTTGGAGGAAGATCATTAGCTTTGTTTAGGTGTGATTGGTGCGATGTTTATGATAAGACAAAAGGGTTGAAAGTGGATGAACATGGTTTTGTGAGTGTTAACCTGAATAGAATGTTGAAGACAAATGAGCCATTTGTTCTTGCAAGTCAAGTGTCCCAAGTATTTTATGCAGAAGACAATGTTAATAAGAACTGGCACTTGGCTGTAAAGGTGCCACCTCGAGCCATGGATGTGTTGCAAAATGAACATAACACTGGCGAATCCAATGAAATGGATTGGTATGGATTTCTTGTGCTTTTTGAATCTCTCCTATTGCTGATTTTGTTGTCAGGTATGAATATTATTCTAACATTAAATCTTTTGTCTTATTTTTATTTTGCTACAGAAGAGTGTTCTGTCCACTTGTCATTATGGAAGATTGTCTGGTTTTGCTATCAACTTCAGGTTAGTATCTTTTGTCAAAGCTCTTAACAACAGGAATAATTTCTATTAGTTGTGACAGTGAATGAAATTTTTCATTTTGTTTTGTTACATGGGCAAGATGGATTTGGATTACAGTAAACTGAATATAAGGATTTGTATGATGTTAGAAGATACTATATATACTATGATGTTAGAGGAGCAGTGTACTTGTTCTAGGCAATGAATCATAAGACCCTTTTTTTTTCCAGATTACTCATGATGTTAACGGTGTTGGGGATGAAGTTTCCAAGGAAATGGAGTTTGTTGGATTCGCCTCTCAAGCTGGAAACTGTGTCTAGGATCCGCCTTTTGCAGCTTCCAAGTAGATGGTGTCTACACAAGAAGCACATAACTTATTGTTGATTATTATGATGTTAGAAGATACTATTTGAAACTCTTTTGATTATTGTTGATAAGACGATGTTCTATTTACAATTATTGTTTGACAGGAAATTTCAATATAACTAATTTTCATAATTAGTGGCTTGTATCTATCCATGAAAAGACCGTGACTACGGGTTTGCTAGTAGTCATGAGAAAATACAGTGACCAATGATTTGTGATTAGGTACAGGAAATACCGTGTATAGCAGTGTATATTTAATCACGGGAAAACCAGGCACTACAAGTTGTAAATACCGTGATTAATGATTGCCATCTGATCACGAGAATTGCTTTTGTCACTGTAAATACCGTGATTACTGATCCACATCTAGTCACAGGAACCATTTTGCCACCGTAAATACCGTGATTAGTGATTCACATCTAGTCACGGGAAATGATTTTATCACAGTAATTACCGTGTTAAAAGGTATAGATCCCATGTCTAAATGACTTATTTTCTCTAGTATTGTGCTCTAATTCTATACATTAGTCACTGGGAATCCCGTGACTAATACGTACATATTATCACAGGAAATTATACCGTGACTAGTGTAATCAGTCACAGTACAAAATTCCCGTGACCTTTACAATTAGACACAGATGTATATATTACGGTAATTTTACCGTGTCTAAAACTAGTAAACACGGGAAACACACTTTTAAACACGGGATTCACCGTGATTAAATGGTCTTTTTCCTGTAGTGTATCTATGGTTTGAAAAACATACCATGTTGGTATGAACAAACCAAGACTGTAGGATGGTTGAATACATGATAGTAGAAGTATATTAACTGTCATTTACGACTTTTAATATTGTGTACCACAAGATACCACCCCGTACCAAGGTGGTATTTTGTGGTATTGTGTGGTCTTTTTTGGTCCTGTAATTTGTTCATCCAGAAATTTGTAGATCCAATAGATCATGATGAACTCGTTCCTTCTGTGCAAACGTTTTCAAAAATAAAGAAGATACCATATGGTATGCAGTTGGTACCGAGAGGCAAGCATTTTTTTTTCTCAAAAAATATTGAAAATGGATCTCGTTTGGTAGAACACAACGAACTCCATCTGTGCAAAAAAATTGAAATCCAAGTTAAAACGAAGAAGATATGAGCCGATTAAGAAAACAAGGAAAAATAAAAATGAGCTTTAATTCTCTATCCTTAAATTCGAGCTTTAATTTTCTGAATGAAGGGTCCAGATTTAGTTATTAATGAGTGCATAACCATGAATTATGCACCCTATCTTGAGCCGAAACTTATTACCATATACATTTTTACCGTATCACAGATATTCTGTTCAAAATTGGAAAGAAGAGACGTGGCCGATCCCCCAATATTATTGCCTCATCCATTACTACTTTATCCACCTATCAGAGTATGGCTCAATCTTCATCATAAATTCTGCAATAGTTAATAATTTTGTTGGTGGGAGAACTAATGGAGGTTATTCTAAAGCAACTCTACACCATGATATATCATTCACTCCACCATGCAAGAACTACTACTTATTCCCCGCTACTCCCCGACACCAACGCATCATCATCATCATTCCTATTCCACCAGCGGAACCCTAGCTAAGCTAGATAGCTGCTCAAACATGTCCACACAACTACTTCTAACTTTCCTTTTCCTAGTAATCTTCCTATGGCATTGGCTTCTTAGAAACAAGCACTCACCGCTCTACCAATGGCCGTTGCTTGGAATGCTCCCAAGCCTCCTCTTCAACTTATCCACAATCCACGACTTCTTAACTCGAGCTTTGAGGCAAACCGGCGGAACGTTCCTTCTCAAGGGACCTAGCTTTATCAACGCAGACTACGTCCTCACTAGTGATCCCACGAACATAAACCACATCTTCAACAAGAACGCCGCCAACTACGACAAGGGTCCGGACTTCAAGGCCATAATGGAGGCTGTGGGCGACGGGGTCTTCAATGTTGACGGCGAGTCGTGGAAGTTCCAGAGGAGGCTCCTCCATTCCTTGCTGAAAAGCACCGAGTTCGAGGGTGTTTACACCAAAAATTAACATTGTACCACATTGGTTAAAAACAAGGGATTAAATGGCTTTATAAGGCCAACTTAATCATATCAGTTCAAATTAGTTGAGTGGGCCATGAAGATTGGGTTTTTGGGCCCATTACTCCGTGCCACCACGCGCGCCATGTATCTCCAAATTTGGCTAAGTATGGGAGCCACCCCCATGACACGCAGAGGGGGTGGGAGCTATACCACCACCCCCAGGACGTGGCAAGGGGGTGGGCACCATACCGCCACCCCCATGACCAGGTGAGGGGGGTTATGGCCGAATTTGGCTAAGGCAAGAAGAATGATAGCCAACCCCAGGAGGTACCAAAGGGGCGTGGCAAGGGGGGTGGGCATCATACCGCCACCCCAGGAGGTACCAATGGGGGTGGCCATCATCATACCATCCCCAGGACGTGGCAAGGGGGTGGACATCATACTGCCACCCCCAGGAGGTACCAAGGGGGGTGGCCATCATCATACCACCCCCAGGACGTGGCATGGGGGTGGGCGTCATACCGCCACCCCCATAACATGGAAGATGATGAGGGTGGAAGGAGCACCCCCATGACCCCATATGTGGCGGCTCCCATGAGGATGATATAGTGGCGGGGGTGATCTATATGACCCCCATGGAGGATGCCCCCAATGGTATGGTGAGGGGGTCACCAATGTACACCCCCATGGTAGGGCCAAGGCAGGGGGGTCATGTGTGAGGTGGTCTCTTTACTCTACTAATGGTGAAGTACTTTTTGCCATTTTTAACTACTGTTATTCAAATACCCACCCATATGTGGTAAGTGGTATTTCTTTATGCCTTAGCCATTTTTACTCTATGGATAAGCAAAACTACGAAGGAGATATCAAGAGCATGAATTGAGGTCTCAAGAGGAGGGGTCAAGGCTGAAGAGAATCCAACATCCAACATCAAAGTAACCGTCATAGCACTTGAGTGGGTAACCGTTACTCCACGTCAGCAGAGCAGTTTCTTGGGGCAGTTACTTCTGGTGGCTATAAATAGGAGGTGAAGATGACAGAGAGAGGGGTCGCAAAAATCACAACTCGACACCACTTGTCAAGTTTTATCTTTTTATCTTTTCCTCTGCAGATTTTAGCCATAGTCGTAGTTTTTGGAGCTCTCACTGAACCTCCATAGGAGTAGGGCTAATTTAATGTAGATTTGCCTCGTAGTTCATCAAAACATTGAACACCCTTGTTTGAACTTTGTTCAAAGAGGTGTGAACTGTGTTGTTTGATCGTTTGTTTGGAAGTCAAAGGTGCAAAATCCAATTCTCTTTCCTTTATTTTTCTCGACGGGAAAACAAATTGGCACACCCGGTGGGACACGTGTGTTCGATTTGATGGCTCCGAGGCGGAGGAATCAAGAAGGTGACGCTCCGATTGGTTTTGTGGAGGAGCAGGTGGCCAACATTGAACATGGCCAAGTGTCAGAGGCGGTGGCCGGAAACAATGGTGGGGCGGAGATCCTACCAACAACGACGCCAAGTGGAGATATTGGTGAAGCAGTGGGGGTCCTTCGTCAAATGATGGAGGAGAACCGCAAACTGGTGGCAGAGAACCGTCAAGCCACAGAGGAGAACCGCCAAATGATGGTGGAGAACCGCCGCATGATGGAGGAGGCTAGAGCTGCTTCTCATCAGGTAAATTCTCAAAAGGACTGTCTTAATTCTAGAGTTGATAGACGTCTAAATCAATTATTTGAAGTGGTTAATAAGAACAAAAGTGATTTTGATGAGTTTAGAATATTTTTAACCACACCAATAATCCAACCTAGAGCTCTGCCATTAGATGGCGGGAATTCAAACCCCAATAGCAATTCCGGAAATTTAAGTTCATCTCCCGCCAGCGGCGGAAATGGTCAGCCACGGCAAGATAACCTCTTTCCGCCGATGACAAACCAACCAACTCCTCACCGCATAAATCGCGACGAGATTCCTGCCACTACTCAAGTGGAAGGGATACCCAATGTGGGAGTTGGAGAAATTCCCCCGCGTGGTGAGAATTTGGGAGTTACACATTCTGCTCCAGTGGAACCGCCACCCATACCCATACCAATGGCAAGGCCCTATACGGTGCCTGCTCACATGGGAGGGGGAGTAGGCTTAGGTGGGGGAGATCAAGTTCCTCCCAGAGCATACCCAACACCCATGCCACCCCATTTCAATGGGCATGGCATGGACCCCATGGGTTTCGTACCCCAAGGGGGGCAACCAGGGGGGCATGATCCCAACACTCTAAGGGATCAGGTGGCTCAACTTCTTGCCGAGCAATTTGGCATGGGAGTGAGACCCACCATGCCACCTGTTTATCGAAAATCATACCCTGAGTGGGTGGATAGACTCTACCCATTCCCAAGGGGGTTTAGGGTGCCCGAGTTTGCCACATTCGCTGGGACAGGGGACCAGTCTACTGTGGAGCACATTGGACGTTTTACTGTACAGTGTGGGGATGTGGGAGATTTTATTAAGTTACGAGTATTTGGAAACTCATTAACAGGACCTGCTTTTGCCTGGTATGTCAATTTGCCATCCAACTCCATCCAAACATGGCAGCAGATGGAGCAAATCTTCCATGCTCAGTTTTATAGATCTAAGCGTGAGGTTTCCATGGCTGATTTAGCACGAATGCGCCAAGAGCCAGGGGAGTCAGTAGAGCACTTCTTGACAAACTTCAAGAATGCTCGTAACCATTGTTTTGTCAACTTGACAGAGAGAGAGTTTGTCAAGTTAGCACAAGGGGGGTTGAGTTTTGAGTTAAGGAAGAAATTCCAAGATAGAGAATTCTCTGACTTGTTCCAACTCATGTCTTGTGCGGTGAGATATGAATCTCTTCTTCAAGAAGAGGAGAATAAGAGGAGTGCCTCAAGGGGGCAATACTTCCCCAACATCGGCTACCCTGTTAACCATATTGGCCAAGAGGCCAATGAGGTGGAGGTAGACCTGGCTGAGTTAACTCTAGGGAAGCCATATGTATGTGCTCCTTTGGCTAAGATGGACAATGAACCACAAGGGGGTAGACCAAATCGTGCCCCTATCCAGCCAAGGAGGTATTCCTTCGATATCTCCAAAGCTGACTTGATTTTTGACCAACTCTACAAGGATGGTCAAATCAAGTTTAAAGGGGGCATAACATCCCACCACCCGAGAAATTAAAAGGAAAAAAGTATTGTAAGTGGCATAACAGCATGTCACATGCCACTGACTCATGTGTGGTTTTCCGTAATATCTTGCAGGATGCTATTGAGAAGGGGCGTATCAAGTTCCCGGAACCCAAGAAGGATGCTATGTTGGTGGATACTGATCCATTTCCCAACGTGGTAGGCATCAACATGGTTAACCCGGATCTCTCCAAAATTGAGTTACGCCGTTTTAAGTTGGTGTTGGATACAACGCCGCCTCAACATGGGAGCTCAAATGCAACTCAGGAACAAGGGAGCTCGTCAGGTACAAAGCAGGCTAGCCCGGCCGCAATGATGAAGGATGAAATTGAGAAGTTGTGTGCTCAGTGCAAGAAGAGCCTCAAACTTGATGAGGCGAGGCCTTCCGCCCACCAAAAACTTGGCCCATCCAACAGGCCGAGATACCCTTCTTATCATAGACAAGTGGAGGGGGTCATCCAGCCGGCTTGGGGGCAACGAAGGCAGTGGATAGCACATGGCATTCCTTCCATGCGAAGTCCTCCCGTTAGGGGTCCTCCCATGATGAGAACTTTTAAGATTCCCAATGTGCCACAAGGAGGGTGGCATACTTATGACATGCGTCGTCAACAACCAGTAGCCATTGGGGGGATGACAAGGACTCAAAGGAGGAGATTCCTACGTAAGAATGCTGCAGCACGATAGGGAAGGTATCCAGTAATACTTGGTGCGAGGATCAGACCATCACAACCCAATAATATTGTTCCACCAAATATCGAGGTGGACAGCTCAGTAACTACCGGGCTCAAGGTGACAATGACTGACAAAGGGAAGCAGGTCCAAGTACAGGGTGATGTCAAAGTTCGTGAAGGGGTCGAGGATGACTTCCAAGAAGGAGGAGGTGAATATGAAGATGAATATGCTGACGATGACATGCTAGAAGATGAGCATCCCAATCCCAAATTCGATAGAGGCAACAAGGATGATGAAGGGGATGACCAAGGACCTCCTCTGACAATCCAGTTTGGAAGTTTGCCGCCAGTGGTGGTCACAAACTACATACTACCTATGGTCTTCCAATTCAATGAGGAAGACCGAGATAGGTATGTGGAGGAAGAAGAGGTAGTAGAAGAGGCTGAAGACACAGATGGGTCCGTTGCTGAGTTAACCGAGGCATTTGCTCGTTTGGAAGCAAGTGATGAGCCATGGGGTGTTAGGATGGCTCGATTGGGGAGTAGGATTAATCTAGCTGCTGAGGTGGCAAGACAAGGCAAGAGTTCCCAGCAACTCTTGAAGGAACTTCATGAGGCAGGCCATAAGAGTGTTGGTTTGCTTGGTGAAGATGATGGGAGATACCCGTTTTATGTGTTATACCAGGGTCCTGAAGCTTCATCGTCCTCACCCATCCAGAACCCTTCTTGGGGTTGGGAGTTTGATGGTGAGGTCGAGGGTTCGGCAGCAAAGGAAGAAAGTTCGACCAAAGAAGAGGAAGTCTTGCAATTAGCCACCTTGAAAGGGAAAGAGGTCATGAAGGAGGAAAACACAAGTGATGAGTTAAGTCACTTAGTGGTTTTCAAGGAACCAGAGCCAAGTATGCTAAGGCATTTGAGGCCCCTCTATATCAAGGCTAGGTTGGATGGTATGCCGATGTCAAGAATCCTTGTTGACAATGGAGCTGCTGTCAATGTGATTCCCACTAGGCTGTTAAGAAAGTTGGGAAAGACTACAAGCGATTTGATTCCCACGAATATCTTCGTTACCAGCTTCAATGGGGGATCAACATCAGCAAGAGGGATACTACCGGTCTTAATTGGAGTTGGTAGTCAAGAGAAAATGTCTGCTTTCTT